CGAGGGACTCCGCGCAAGCAGGGGGCGGGAGGGAGGGGGCGGCGGCTCCTTGACCACCCCCACCGCCCTGGCACTCATTAACCCAGGCGGCCTCCAATCCCAGCCAGGCTGCCGGGGCAGAGGGCGGGGAACACTGGCCTGTCCACCTCTCTCAGGGCCCAATCCTCCCCCTTGCTTCCCCCCCTTGCTTCCCCCCCTCGCCCCCGACTGGGGAGACAGGAGGAAAGGAAGCGCTGCTTGCCCCCTTAGTGAAGCACAGCGTGCTTTGCAGGCTCTATCTGGGGGGCCCAGGGCCCAGAAACAGCCAAGCCGCTAAAGCGGGGAGCCGGCTGTGCCTCTTGCCCTTCGCTCTTGGCGATTTCCGGTCCCCCATGCTTCTGATGGCCTCGCGCCACTGCGCCCAGAGGCCCAGTGGCTGCCCTGTCCCCTCGCTGGCCTCTGATCCTCTGGGGGAAGGAGAACCTGACTAACCCAGTTCCACCACGTGCTGACCTTCCGCACTGAACTAAACCATTGGAGGGGTTCGCACACTCACAGAACCAGCTATGTGAAATTAGGAGGAAAAACCCAGCCAAGTTTGTAAGTAATACAACCCAGTTAGCGCATTGTGCACTGGCAGCCTCCGGGTCTTTCACTAATCCGGGGAAGCGCGTGCAGACTCAGCCACAACCGGCTTCCCTTCTCACTGCAGGATCCTTATGTAATTCAGTGCCAACAAGAAGAAAAGGCCAAAAGGTGTGCTGTGACCTGGCGAATGAGGGACTGTGGACAAAGACCCCGGCCCTCTCTGGGTGCTTACGATAACGATCTGTGAGAACAGCAACACACCCTAAGGCCTGGAAGCACCAGCAAGCCCCAGTGGCACGGAGTGGTGCGTGGCAGTGTCCTGAGCTGAGGAGTCTGGGGCCGAGGCTGAGCCCAGAGGGCGAAAGGCTGGGGATCTCAGTCCTCCTCTCCAAGGCGCCCTCTGGCCCTGCCCTCCCTTGACCCACCTCCCTGTCTTAGTCATCTGCTCAGCTGTTCCTGTGGCCTGCCACCCATACCTGGCCCCCGGCGTGTGAGACAGATGGGGGGGTCCCACCACCTATGCACTGACTGCCAAACCACAGAAAAATAAAGCGTGTGTTCCTCTACACCTGTATATGTTTTTTTAAATTTTTATTTGCGTTACACAGTAATCAGTCAGAAATCAATTCTACAGCGTGGCCTCCTACACTTCCAGTGTGAGAGGCATGAACAGGGGAAGTATGAGGAACGTCCACCTGGAAGTCAACCTAAATCCCATCACTGAAAGGGAAATGGTTGACTCTGGGGTGATGAGGAGCAAGCTACGTAGGCAGAAACAACAAATAGTTATCACAGAATTGGCCTGGTTAGATGGACAATTACAGCTGGTCTTCACTTAATGATCACAACTGGGACTGGAAATTCCATCGCTAAGTGCTGTGGTCATTAAGCGAGACATCGCGTGACCGCAGCTTGTAATTTTACTGCCGGCTTCTCCGTTGACTCTGCTCTGCTCGTCGGAAGTTGGCTGCGGAGTGGACAAATTGCAATCGCGTGACTCTTCCTCTCCTGCTTCTTCAAAGTCGAACTTTCCATTCCACGAGGGAATACCACGGCCTGCACGATTCTGATCTTCACGATTCTGATCTTCGACAGGCCCATCACAGCGTCGGAATATCTTCTGAGGCCTTCCCAAGTGCAGGTCAACCCTGTTCTCATTCGTTTGGTCTTCTCTGTATTTAGTTTTAGTCCATTTTTTACATTTGCTCCTTGACTTCTGCTACCAGAGCTCGCAGATCAGCACAGCGCAGGTTATCAATTCCCAGCCACGGCGTCTCCGGACTATGGGAGCCGGAATCCGCCAGGAAGGACGCAGAGGGGCGCTTGGGT